ATCAGTTATTTTATTGTTTTATCTCCTGATTTTGGTTCTTCAGATTAGGAGTAGTTTTTTCGATTAAAAAAATTCAGGGGGTGCTGGATCAATGCTGGCTTTGTTTTTGAGTTAGTGGAGCAAAGTTTCGTAGATGTAAAATTAGGTTTTTTTAAAAAATAAGTTGATTTATTTTTTATCTCCGAAGTGTGAATTTGTCCGTTTAAGGGTGGTTTTGGTCGATTTAAAAAAAACTGAGGGTGATGGAGCAATTCTGAGCTCAGATTCGGTTTCAGCGGCCCAAAATACTATAGGAAATATATGTCTAGTTCAAGAAACAGACACCTTTTTTTTGTGTGCCCGTGTTAATGTTATTTAGAATATGTAATCAATTTTAATATATGTATAAAAAACTTTTATTTATTATATTTGAAATTCTTGATTCATCTTTAAATTCTTATTGACTTAATACCTAATTCCTAAAATTATCATACCTGAATAAAATGAATGACAAAAGGGTTAATAATAAACTGCAAGTCTTTCTTATCAAACGATTCTTATGAAAGTATTATTAAAAACAAAATATTTGACTTTGGTTTGCGTTTCATATACATTTATAAGGGGTATATGAAGCTGAAGGTTCAACCTTCCAAAAACTTATATTATACAAAATAGATATAATAAAACAAGTAAGTTAACAGATACGACAGTAGAATGAACATTTTTAAAAGACATTAAACATTTTGAATTTTGTTTCAAAAAAGTAAAATTATATAAATATTAGTGATTTGAAATAAACGACAGAAAAAAAACTATAACAAGATATGTGTTTTTCCAAATCACAATAAACGTTTTGAGTTTCGATGCTGATACATATGTATTTATGTAAAACCAAAGTTTGTGGTTCAGAGGACAAACTATTTTAGAAGAACAAAATAATGTGACAAAAAAAATATATATAAAAAGTTATTAAGTTCGCATAAATTATATAACATAAATTAAGTCTTTAATTATGAGATCATGCCGAAAAATATAGTTACTTAAGGCAATTTATGTAAATTTTTTTTAAATCGTAATATTTGATTTTAGAAACGATTTATGTACTCGGTACATTGAATTTCATCTGAAAACTGTTGCAGTTATTAATTTCAGAGAATGTTAATATTTATATTAAAATCGAACAGTTTTCAAGTTTAATAATAATAATATTATTTAGTGTGTCAATTTTAATTCAGTTTAAGTCCCTAATCGATAATAGAAGCAATTTACACATTATAATATTATGGTTAATGAAGTGGCAAAATATTCGTGCTGTATATTGTTCAAAAATTCATATTAAAAAAAATTTTGCGCAAAATAGTTTTTAGACGACTCTCAATGGAATTATTTAATAAAACTTACATAAATGACCTTTTTATAATTGCTTTATATATATATATATGTGTGTAAAAGGTATTCTTCCTTAAGCACCCCAGTAAAAAGTGAAAAGTTTATTGAATTAACTTCAAATTTTCGATAATTATTGTTCTATATGAGAATCTACAATAGTAGTAGAGCTATGTCGGTTCTAGTTCAGTCCTCTTCGATTCCTACCTTACCGACCTATGGTAACTCTACTTTACCATAGATCAGTGTTACCGACCGTTGTCGCGAGATGGCGCTGTTGCTCGCGGGAATTTTTGAACCCTATTGGCCACCCCCTTACCACCCACTCATTTGCATATGCTTTGAATTTTTTAACCCGTTTGGCCACCCCCTTACCACCCACTCATTTGCATATCATTTGCATATGCTTTGAATTTTTTGAACCCTCTTGACCCCCCCCTTACCACCCACTCATTTGCATATCATTTGCATATGCTTTGAATTTTTTAACCCGTTTGGCCACCCCCTTACCACCCACTCATTTGCATATCATTTGCATATGCTTTGAATTTTTTGAACCCTCTTGACCCCCCCCCTTTCCACCCACTCATTTGCATATAATTTGCATATGCTTTGAATTTTTTAACCCTCTTGGCCACCCCCTTACCACCCACTCATTTGCATTTTATTTGCATATATCTTTCCTACGTATTAACATATACGGCCCCGAAAATTCAAAAATCATAATTAGAACGTCGAGGAACAAAGGGTTCGCGAGATACCGCGCGGAACTGTGGGTGGTTGGGAGTAGGTGGCTGTGGGTGGTGCACAGTGGATGACTCAAAAGTGTGCGCGGCACATGCGCGCGTACATCACCGGGCCCGTTGGTAGTCCATGCGTCAAGTGGGGATGGAGTTCGGTAGTGGGGTGTTGTGAATAGTGGGGACGACATGTACCTCAGGCGATTCCCGTGGCAAGGAAAGTCATTCTGTTCTAGGTTCCAGAATCAGCAGCATCAACCCGGGGCTCCTCCTTACATGCACCAGTACTAGTAGCTGTCTCACCAAGCTGAGTCGGGTCCATGAGAGAGAGAGAGAGGGGTTCTTCTCACTCACACCAATAGTAGCTGAGTCAGGTCCATGAGAGAGAGTAGGGTCGCTACTCACTCACACCAACAGTAGCAGTCTCACTGAGTTCAGTCAGGCGCGCAAGAGAGGGGGCCACCTATACGTAGAAGCAGTTGTAGTAGAAGCGTGCACATATATCTCATCTAACTCAACACGCTTGAGACTACTTTCACTTCACAGACTGTAGTCTCAGTGAGTTAAGACTTGTTTCTTGCCTGTCTCAACTTGCTCAAGCGCGCTAGAGAGGGGGTGCTACTTTTACACACATTGTGTGTTATAAAGTTTAGTCAGAACATTTTTATGTAAGTATTTATTTATATGTGTACATAATGTTAGTAATAATTAAAAAAATTCCTTTATTCTGTTGCAGACTAGTCTCAGGAGTAACAACAAACAATTAAGGGTCAAAAGCATTCAGTTTGGAGGTTCCTAATATATCCGTGAGAGGGGGTTCCACTACATTCAACAGCATTTTTTTTTCTCTGTTTCAGCTTATTCTTTTTGTTACAGTGTCGTTCTAAATAAAAAAACAACAATAAAAAATGTCTACACGCAGAAATAATAAACCTTATGAAAGAATAGTTTCACAGGATAGCATTAATGAAATTTGTGAAGTATCAGAAAATTTCATTAATGTTGCTAAAATTGAGTTAGAATCTGTATCATCCAAGTCAGGTGATGATCGTTTCATTAGCGCATTTGAGTGGCATAACAAATGTAAAAAACATTATTCTCTTTTAAAAAAATTTTCAAAACGTTTCTCTTCTATTAAAGGTAATCAAAAGGAGAGAATTTGAAATTTACTAAAACAAATTTATTTTTTTGAATGCCACTTTGATTCGGTAATGAAACGTGGATCAAGTTTGGAAGCGAATGATAGAATTAAATGGACTGTGACTGATAGGGCATTTAATTCAAGAATTCAAAGCGGAACAATTATTAATATGAGTCACATAGATGTTAATTTATTCTTAGATGATGCCTTTTCAATTTATGAAGATCAAGTTAAAGCCTGTTTAAATAGGTTAGGTTGCTTAAAAGTTTATACAATTTTGGTAGCTAAATTTAAAAAGACTTTAGCTGATGGAACAAGTATTTTAGATTTGAAATCATTCATTGCAAAAACAGGCGAGATTTTCCCTGCAACAGATTTAAATAACTTTTATAATGAAAATGTTAAGCAAATAACCCTCAAACTTATCGAAGAATTTCAGGAGAAAGAATCAAATTGGCAACTTCACTCTATTCTCAGATTAGATGTGAACTTTAACAAATACAACCCTATGCGTGTTGGTTGTTTCATTAAACTGACACTTGCCATTGAACGAAAAAAAGCCTGTATAAATGTCCGAAAAGAAGGTAATGAATGCTTCAAGTGGGCGATTCTTTCAGCATTATATCAAACCTCCTCTAATTCGGGAAGAGTGAAAAAATATGAGAAATTTGAAGATACTTTAAATTTTACAGGTATTACATTTCCTGTAACATTTAAGGATATCCGAAAATTTGAATCTCAAAATGATGTTTCAGTAAATGTTTATGGTTTACAAAAGCATAAATCAAAATTTACTGTAATACCATTATATCTCTCATCTAGTAAGAAAGTCTCACATGTGAATCTTTTACGCATTGAGGAAGATTATGATGAATGTGACGAGGAAGATTGTGCTGAAAAATCAAACACTACCACCTCATTCAATTATCATTTCGTTTGGATAAAAAATTTATCCAGGCTTGTAGGCAAACAATTATCACAGTCAGAATTTAAGAAGCATATTTGTGATCGGTGTTTACATTATTTTAAAAATGAAGAGGAGCTTAATAATCATATAGAAAATTGCATAAAACTAAATAAAGCAAAAATTATTTTACCAAAGTCTGGACAAAATAGGGTTCATTTTAAGAATTTTTATAGCAAGGAGCGTGCTCCGTTTATCATATATGCTGACTGTGAGAGCCTACTGCTTCCTGCGACTGATTCTTCATTCGTAGGGGATAATACAGAAGTTTTTCAAAAACATAAACTTCTGAGCATTGGCTACTATTTAAAGTGTTATGATGACACTTTATCAGTATACAAAGCATCCCCTATTAATGAAGAAGATGCAGCAAAATGGTTTGCTCGTGAATTAAAACAAGTGGCAGAGGATGTTGAGCCTGTTTTTATAACTAACGTTCCGATGGAAGTCTTAAATGCAACTCAAAAAGCAGCATTCAAAAATACTAATGTTTGTCACATCTGCAGAAAAATTATCACGCATGGGGGTGTTAAAGTTAGAGATCACTGTCATATAACTGGTAAATATAGAGGAGTCGCTCATCAAGATTGCAATCTGAAATATTAGGTTTCAAAAACTATTCCTGTGGTTTTCCATAACTTGAGTGGATATGATGCACATTTCATTATAAAAGCTATCGCGACTGAGTTTGAGGGTAATGTTTCCAATTAATAAAGAAAAATATATAAGTTTTACCAAACACGTTGCAGCAAATGATATCAAATTTAAATTTATAGATTCCTTTAGATTCATGGCATCATCTTTGGATAAATTAGCATCTTATTTGACGAATTATAATATTGTAAATTCTGAATTTCAAGCCTATGATATGGATAAAATTCAGTTACTAACCCGTAAAGGAAATTTTCCATATGAGTACTTGGATTGTAGATTAAAACTTAATGAGGAACAACTACCGCCAATAGAGAAATTTTACAGTACCTTAAATGATTCAAATATAAGTAATGAAGATTATCTACATGCACAAGAGGTTTGGTCTGCATTTAATTGCAAAAATATCGGTGATTATGTATATTTATACAGGAAAACAGACATTTTATTACTTGCAGATGTTTTTGAAAATTTTAGAGACCAATGTCTTGATGCATATGGTTTAGATCCAGCTCACTATTATACAACTCCAGGATTGAGTTGGGATGATATGCTAAAGTATACAAATGTTGAGTTGGAACTTCTTACAGATATTGACATGATCATGTTTATTGAACGTGGCATTAGGGGTGGGATTAGCCAATGTTCAAATATATATGCTCATGCTAATAATCATTATATGAAGAATTATAATGAAAAGGAAGAAACATCTTACATTGTGTACTTGGACGCTAATAACCTTTATGGTTGGGCTATGGTACAAGCACTTCCCTACGGTGGTTTTGAGTGGGTAAAAAATATAGATAATACATTTAACTTTAATATCCCTGATGATTCACCTTTTGGTTACATATTAGAAGTGGATTTAGATTACCCTCATGAATTGCATAACAGTCATAGTGACTTACCATTTTGTCCTGAACACTCAAAGCCACCTGGATCAAAACAATCGAAGCTGTTAACTACTCTCTTACCGAAACAAAAGTATATAATCCATTATCGTGCACTTAAACAAGCATTAGCACATGGTATTAAACTTAATCATATACATCGAATTTTAAAATTTAAACAGTCCACTTGGTTAAAAAGTTATATTGATTTTAATACTATGATGCGAACAAATGCTAAAAATGAGTTTGGAAAAAATTTGTTCAAACTTATGAATAATGCTGTTTATGGCAAGACTATGGAAAATGTACGAAAGCATGTAGATGTCAAGCTTGTGACAAAGTGGGAGGGTAGGTACGGCGCCGAGGCTCTTATATCAAAACCAAACTTCCACACAAGAGCTATCTTTAATGATAACTTGATTGCTGTGGAACTCACAAAAACGGAAGTGTTTATGAATAAGCCAATCTATATTGGACTTAGCGTTTTAGATATTTCTAAAACATTAATGTATGATTTTCATTATAATTATATGAAAATCAAGTATGTTAATAATTGTAAATTACTCTACACTGATACCGATAGCCTTGTGTATAAAATTAAATGTGCAGATATCTACTCTGATATGAAGGTAGATATTTGCAAATTTGATACATCAGATTACCCAGCTAATAATGTATATGGCATTCCGCAAGCTAACAAAAAAGTCTTGGGTCTCATGAAAGATGAGTGCAGTGGGAAAATTGTAACAGAATTTGTTGGATTGCGGAGTAAAATGTACAGTCTTCGCGTTGAAGGTCAAGATTTTATAAAAAAAGTTAAAGGTATCAAGACGGCAGTTGTGAAAAAAACTATTACTTTCAATGATTATCTATTCTGTTTAAAAAACGTTTAAATTCAATCTAGAACACAGTATTGTATTAGATCAAAATTGCATAATGTACACACACTAAAACAAACCAAAACAGCTTTAAGTCCATTTGATGATAAGAGATATTTATTAAAAAATAGTACAGACACTCTCGCTTGGGGACATTGTAATATTGTAAACCATGATGATGATGATGATGTAGAAATGTTACAAGTCTGATGTATATATTTGTTATTTATTTATATTTATTGTATATTTCTTATTTATTTATATTTATTGTTTATATTTCTTATTTATTTATATTTATTATACATATTGAAAAAAAGAGTTGTAGTGGAAGGAAAAGTGTAATTAAATTCTTATTAAATGAAAACTTTTTATTAATTTTATGTCTACTTTATTTAATACAACCTTCATATACATTATTACAATTGTTGACATAGCTCTCACAAGTATAAATAAATTCTCAGAAGATGCCTTTGTTCCTTTTTTTTCAAAAAAAGCAAGTTGAGAAAAGTCTAGACCATGAAATGCATAAATTCTCTTCTTTGTTCCTGTTCAAAAAAGGCAAGTTGAAACAAGTCTAGTCTGTGAAAAGACTAAAATTTTTTTTTAAAATTATAACGACTTTTTTTTTTTTTTGTTTCCTTCAACAATGAAGTTGGAATTTGTCTAAACTTGCTTAATTTCATTCAGTATATATTAAAAGAACATTCTCTTAACTTTTCTAAAAGTTAACTTTAACTTTTGAAATAGTTAACTTTAACTTTTCAAATAGTTAACTTTAACTTTTCAAATAGTTAACTTTAACTTTTCAAATATTTACATGCTTTTTAAATGTAACTTTTCTAAAAGTTAACTTTAACTTTTCAAATAGTTAACTTTAACTTTTCAAATTTTACATTTCTGATTTTTGTATCCAACTATTGTGAGAAATATCGAATCCAAGCCATTTGACATAGATTTCATTACGACGATTTTTGAGGACTTTTTCTACCAAATAAATATCTGGAAATTTCACTTTGGAAATTTCTTCTTCATAGAAGCCGCCTTCGATGGGTTGATCTTGATAATCCTTCAGCTTGTAAGTTACTGGATTCGTTGATTTGACTTGAATAATGGTGAAAATTTCAGTCGTCCAGTTGGGTGTGTATCCTTTTTCAAAAACATTCTTATACTTGCTCACTCGTACTCGATCACCAACTATGAATTTTGCTTTTTTAGGCAAAATTTTTCTTTGTTTGGAGATGCGTTTCAACAGTTTCTTTTCATCTTCTCTGCTGACATCCTTAGGTTTTATTCCAATAGTACGATGTTTATTGTTATTATACTTTGTAACAAGAGATGGTAAAATGTCTTCCCATTTATAACTTCCTCGTAAGTTGAACTGTGGCCACATCATATTTTTTAGTGTGCGGTTAAATCTTTCGATAATTGAAGCTTTTAAATTACTATAAGTTGAATACAGTTTAATTTTATATGATTTCATTAAACTCTCAAATATAGAATTATAAAATTCTTTTCCTTTATCAGTATGCAAGTTTGTAGGAACACGTCCATTCACAAGTATAGATTCCATAGCTTCAGAAACATCTTTTCCACTTTTACTTTTTACAGGAATAGCCCATGCATACTTGGAAAATATATCTATAACTGTAAGCATATATTTGAAACCTTTATTAACTTTAGAATAAGGTATCATTTCAACTAATTCTGCTTGCCAAGTTTCATCAATTCCACGCATTTCTACTTTACGACGTGGATAATTTCTCCTAGCTTGCCTATGTAACTCTGTCACAACTGTTAACTTTTTATCATCCATGTTCAAGGATTTATAATAAAATGATCTGAATAGAACAATATTCAATATAATAATGATCTTGATTTTACAAGTTCACTCTTAATAAATAATTTGAGCTTCCCGTAATTCTTCAATTATTGACATAATTTCATTGTTGTGACTTGAATTGCCAGCCTGTTGTGATGCGACAAGTAAGCATAGACGATCAACAATCTCGTTTGGATCATCCCAATAGACATAGTCTGGATATGATTCTTTCTTCACCGTCATAAATTGTGGTAATTGAGTTTTTCTCTTCAAATAAGAATCTCCGGATTTGAGCAAAAGTTTTGCAATAACATTAGTATATTTGTAAGTCTTATTACTACGAATAGGTTTATTTGGGCTATAGTTCTTTCTATGTGCATTCGTACTACGCAGGATTTCTTTATAGTTTACGAAATCATTAGCATTTGTTAACTTCTGATCAGGTTTTTGTCGGAATATGAGTTCCAATAATCCATCCGTTTTAGAATATTTTTTCTTCCCAACTAGGTTAATGTAAGAACCATCAAAATTAATTTGTGTATCACCAATCACATATGTACCGTCGGGAAGTTTACGTACTCCATAAATCATATCTATATATTGTTTCCTATTTTTGTCCAACATTTGTAGAAATTTCTTTGTTAATTTATCAGAATCTTCTTCTTCTTCCAGAGTATCAATCACATTACTTGCGTCTTTAATATTATACACGCCTTGCTCATGAAAGGTATCATTAAGTATATTATTATGTTGCTCATTAACAATAATATTATAATTCTCTTGATTGGGTAATCTATCAATTATATTTTCCTTTGATAAATTTTGCATGCCCTCTTCTTCATAAATAGGATCATAAAACGTTACATCATCATTATAAATAGATTTATTGAAAGGTGTATCTTTACTAATGGCAGTCTTAAAAGATGATTCACAGTCTTCTTCTTCTTCTTTCTTTACATGGTTTTGAAAATTTTCAATCTTTATAGGATTTTTAGTTATATGGACTAATTTTTCCAATGGAGTAACTAATGGTTGAAAGGTTTCTTTCAACATATTTTTAGCTGACTCTCTGCCACTTTTAAGAATACGATGCTTTCGACGTATAGCATCACTTGCTGCAGCTATTTGATGTAGTGTCTCTCGCTCCTTTCGAAACATGTTTATTTATGAAAGTCTCAAACTGAACTATTACAATTCTTTTGAAATGCTTAATATTTATAACTGAATAAAGCAATCATATCCCTTCCTATATCTTCCATCATTTATATTTCTATCTTTATCAATAACTACAAATCCATACCTGTCAGAGTTCTAACATACTGAACATAAATCTCGAAACTGTGTAAAAGTCATATCTGTATTCACATGATCATTATAAACATGCTTGAGATTCCTTTCATCTTGTCTGAATAGTACAAGCAAATTAATATTATCTCTAACAAGATGTTTTGGAATATGAGCATATGTTTGACAAAGATAAAAACTATCGACGTTAACATGCCGCCCCATACAAAAAAACACCTTAACATTGTCCTGCTTCTCACAAGCGATATCATCAAAAATGAAAATTGAATTAGTTTTTGCATCTTTAGGCGTAACAACTTGTTCATGTTCACTGAATGGGAAGAACTCGATGCCATCTACTTTACTAAGTACTTGTTCCAAAAATTTATATTTCGGCTGCTGTAATGATTTTGAATATAAATATATATTTTCAAATCCTAAACCATTCGGATGTATAATCAGAGAAAGAAGTGCATTCGTTTTTCCACAATTTGATGGTCCACAAAAAGCTGCTCGAATACTATTTGAAAATAAACTTCCGTGTCGTTTAACCCCATTATCTTTAATTTCAATGAGGTTATCCACATTGGCAATGGGGAGTTGTACAGCTTGTACCTTGAACTGCATCTTAGAATTGACTAATGAAAAACCTATAAATACCCCACTTATATAGTCGCCCTCAATCAGTTGGTTATAGACCATTGTCGAGTGAGGAATGATTACTCACGATAAAGTGAAGAAAAATTCTTGCAGTGGTCAAGGATTTCTCAATACTTTAATTAACAAATTACCATTCGAGTGTCACATTCCTGGTTATCAATATTGTGGACCTGGAACAAAGTTGGCAAAACGTCTTGCACGAGGGGATCCTGGTATAAATCCTTTGGATACGGCTTGTAAGGAGCATGATATAGCCTATTCAAAAGATAAAGACGTGGCTGCAAGAAATACTGCAGACAAAATACTAGCTGAAAAGGCGTGGGAACGAGTAATTTCCAAGGACGCTAAAATTAGTGAAAAAGCAGCTGCATTAGCTGTAACTAATATAATGAAAGCTAAATCTAAATTTGGGATGGGTTTAAAAATTAATAATAATATTAAGAAAAAGATTGTGAAGAAGAAGAAGAAGAATAAAATTTCCAAGAAAAATAAACGCATGACATTAAGGAAGATTATTCATGCTGCTAAAAATAATATGAAAAATAATCATAACGCAACGGACACTATTAAAACAGCAATGATTGGTGCACAAAATGCAGTTAAAAATCTTGGTAGTAAATGTAAAATTTCATCACCTCGAATTCTTCCTGTACCTTCAAAAGTTGGCGGTATTTTACCGCTAATACCAATTTTTGCCGGGCTTAGTGCATTAGGAGCACTTAGTGGTGGAGTCAGTGGTATTGTAAAAGCAGTAAATGATGCTAATGCTGCTAAAAAACAACTTTCAGAAGCACATCGACATAATGAAACAATGGAGACCATTGCTATAGGAAAGGGTATATATTTGAAACCCTATCGTAAAGGACTTGGTCTTTATATTAAACCACATCAAGGAAATGGATTAAAATATACAAAGAGTGTTCAAAAAAACTAATATTGAAGCTACCTCACCGCGCACTAACCGACTATGATTTACTTAAATATGCTAAACTTATGAAAATACCTAAATTTCGTGGAGTTTTTATGAGAAATGAATTACCTATTACAGGACCTTATAAATGTGAATCAGCCATAATTAATCTTGATAATATAGAAGGTCCTGGAACACATTGGGTAGCATATAAAAAGATAAACAATGAAACTGAATATTTTGATAGTTTTGGAAATCTTTCACCACCATTGGATCTCATTGTTTATCTAGGTGTTGGTAGCTATATAAAATATAATCATGAGAGATATCAAAATTTTGATACATTTATATGTGGTCATTTATGTCTTAAATTCTTATGTAAGCATCTTAACGTTAAGAACAGTTTTAATCTATATAAGAATATGTAAACAATTATAACCTTCAGTATAAAAGTAGATGTCCAACATGAATGACTCTTTTACTTTAACGTTAACGGGAAAGTCTTCAGTTCTGGAGGCTTCATACTTCCCACCTATTGAACTTTCACCTATTAAAAATTATACACTTGGACTTGTTGATTTATTTACATATAACTCAATTCCTAATATTGATGAAAGTTCCAACAAATTTTACATAGATTATTTTGAGTTTACTATACCTACAGGTAGTTATGAAATTAAAGATATAGAAGAATATTTGCGGCGTCAATTACCAGATGAAGATTATTTAGCAATAGATTCCAACAATAGTACATTAGGATGCAATATTAAATCAAATCTTTGGATTGACTTTACTCCTGAAGATTCTATTGCTAGTTTATTGGGATTCACTGCTCGCAAACTAATGCCGAATTTAAAACATTTCTCCGATTTACCTGTAAAAATATTGAAAGTGAATGCTCTACTCATTGAATGTAGTATTACCACTGGAGCGTATATAAATGGTGAAAAAGTTCACACTATACATGAATTTTTCCCTACTATTCCACCAGGATATAAGATTGTAGAAGTTCCAGCACACATCATTTACCTTCCAGTCGCCGTAAGGACAATACATAACATTCAGCTACGTATAGTAGATCAGAACGGTATTTTGGTTAATTTTAGAGGAGAGACAATAACAATCCGTTTACACATTAAATCAATGTAATGGTTTTGTTTATAATCGAAAAGTTGGAAGTAGTTATAAAACTCAAACACCATGTCCATCGAAGATCAGTTTGAATATAGCTCGCAAGGTGTTAACACCTCAGAGTCGACAATTCCTGAAGCAGCTAGGTCTGCGAGTCAGAAATCAAAACTAAGGAAGAGAAAGAAGAGAAGAGGTGAAAATTTTTTCTTGTTTATTTTGTGTCGCTGTTATAAGAAAAATGGAGGACATTCTTAGCATTCCAGCATCAGTGAATTTTGATGAATCCATAGCTAATTATGAGATTCACAGTCATCAACCATATGCATCCTCATCGTTTAACAATAATGATGAAATTCGCATTATTGTATAAAATCAAGATTTATCTATTTTACCAAGCAATATTGTATTACATATTTTTGGAAGGTTGACTAATGCTGATGGAACTGATGCCATACAAAATATTCATTTCGCCAACAATGCGATAGCCTATTTGTTTGATGAAATTCGTTATGAATTGAATGGTATTGAGATTGACCGTTGCAAGTATTTTGGTCATACAACTACTATGAAAAGCTTTGTTTCTTTAACACCACCTTAACTTAACCGCGCTGAAAATGCAGGAGTTTTGAATCTGGAATTGAATACAAGAATGGCATTACAAGATGGATATTTTGATATATCAATACCACTTGGTATGATTTTTGGTTTTGCTGAAGATTATAAAAAAATTGTTATAAATGCTAAACATGAACTGATTTTAATAAGAGCACGTAGTGATTTAAATTCTATTATTCAAACGGGCGAAGGTGCAGATGAACAGTTCAAAGTACAAATTAATAAAGTGGAATGGTTAGTGCCATATGTTTTACCATCTGATAATAATAAAATCAAATTATTGAAATTTATCGAGAAAGATCCACTAATTTCAATGAGTTTTCGATCGTGGGAAATGTTTGAATATCCTTTAATTCCGTCAAGTACAAGAGTCATGTGGCAAATAAAATTATCAACACAATTAGAGAAGCCTCGATATGTAATTGTTGGATTCCAAACAGGAAGAAAAGATAAACGTAAAAAGTTTGCCAGTTATTTTGATCACTGCAACATTACAAATGTAAAACTCTTTTTAAATTCACAATCATATCCTTATGGAAATTTAAATTTAAATTTTAATCAAAATCAATATTCTATACTTTATGATATGTATGCTAATTTTCAATCTTCCTACTATGGAAGAGATTCTGAACCCATATTGAAGCTTGAAACTTTTAAATCATTGGCTCCTCTAATTGTTATTGATTGTTCAAAACAAAATGAGTTTCTCAAACAAACGTCAGTTGATGTACGTTTGGAATTTGAAGCTAGAAATAATATACCTGCTGAAACAACTGCTTATTGTCTCATCATACATGATCGCATTGTACAGTATAAACCAAACAGCGGTATAGTTAAAAAACTGTAAAGCAATGGAGGGGGTAAAATGAAAGTAGTGGGGAGGGGGTTGAACTGAGAGGTATATAACTCACGTTCCTGGGATAGAAATTTATTTCTATTCCAAGTTGGAGTTCATCGTAGACGTTCAAGGCTTCAAGAAACCCTGCAACGATTTCATTTTCAAAGAGTTGGCTATATTTCCTCTTGAAGCTGATGCTCAACCTCGAGTTTACCTCTTTGAACCTCCATGTGCTTGGAGAGGAGCTGGGAGGAACAACTCGCCGAGCGCTCGGCTGGGCGCTCTAAAGCCAGTCAAACGACCCAAAATGTTCGAAAAATTGAAATTCGGAATTTTGATATTTAAAACGTATTACCCTGTTTGATATAAAAAGGCGCATCTTTTTTTCCTTTGACTTTTTTTCATAGGACCAAAACCGTGGATATTAAATGTAAAAAACTGAAAAAAATTTTTTCACGAATTTTATTACATTTTTAAACTTAAATCGTCGTATCTTTGACAAATGTTAATGAAATCACTTGCCATTTCGTATACACACTTATTAGTGTACATAGAAGACGATAGCTTAATAAAAAATTAAAGAATTATTTATTTTTTAATAATAATTAATTATAAATAGTGAACGGTCGGTAATCGCCTTTTCTAACCTTTGACGAAAAAATGTCTGTGGGGAACTTTAAAATTAAAACAACTTCCAGTGAGACATTTGTTTATCATAATATAAAGAAGTTTTCTGGAAAATTCCAAGTCGATTCATTAATAAGTTTTGAAAATATAAGTGTTTTTTCAAAAAGCGGCGACGCGCTAGCTAGACGTCACGCGGAGCGAATCATTGACAGTCGTATTATTAATACCTTACTTTTCGAATATGAAATAAAATAGGTAAGTTTAAATAGATCAATTAATATTATTTCGTTTTATTATAAAATAGGAAATTTAAGAAGTATATCATTTAAAATAGGGTATGTTTGTACTAATGTTGTGTTGTCCTTGAGCTGACCTTAAATGTAAACAAACGTTTTTAACTGTGAATTTTTCATTTTACGTGTCATTTTAACTTATTTATTAGAAAAAAATAAAATATAATAAAAATAATAATAATAAAATAATAATAAAATAAAATAAATAATAATAAAATAAAAATAAAACTTTTAAAATTTTTTAAACTAAAATGTGTGAAAGTTAGGGTGTAACAGTCGGTAGGAAACGAACTCGAAACGACAGTGGTATTAACAGTCGTAAGGTATTAATAATACGACTGTCAATGATTCGCTCCGCGTGACGTCTAGCTAGCGCGTCGCCGCTTTTTGAAAAAACACTTATATTTTCAAAACTTATTAATGAATCGACTTGGAATTTTCCAGAAAACTTCTTTATATTATGATAAACAAATGTCTCACTGGAAGTTGTTTTAATTTTATAGTTCCCCACAGACATTTTTTCGTCAAAGGTTAGAAAAGGCGATTACCGACCGTTCACTATTTATAATTAATTATTATTAAAAAATAAATAATTCTTTAATTTTTTATTAAGCTATCGTCTTCTATGTACACTAATAAGTGTGTATACGAAATGGCAAGTGATTTCATTAACATTTGTCAAAGATACGACGATTTAAGTTTAAAAATGTAATAAAATTCGTGAAAAAATTTTTTTCAGTTTTTTACATTTAATATCCACGGTTTTGGTCCTATGAAAAAAAGTCAAAGGAAAAAAAGATGCGCCTTTTTATATCAAACAGGGTAATACGTTTTAAATATCAAAATTCCGAATTTCAATTTTTCGAACATTTTGGGTCGTTTGACTGGCTTTAGAGCGCCCAGCCGAGCGCTCGGCGAGTTGTTCCTCCCAGCTCCTCAATTCACTACCTGAACGTTATAAAAGTGAAAATCTCTGGCTAACAAACAATTATCATGGAATCCACTGGATGTCTGGAGATGTATCTTACGATGAACTGCGTACTATTATACAAGAAACATTACGAGGTGCAAAAACTATCTACACGAAAGGTATTGAAAAAAAGCAGTGGTTAGAAAAATATTTGTTAAATGTACAAAATTTAGAAGATTTAGACTGTCCAGCGATTAAAAATATTAAAACTGAATCGTTGTTAACTACATGTACGCATCATATTACACAAACTAACCATTGTGCTGTAAACATTGTTTGATTCTTCGAAATTGGTTTCTAAATGTATCGAATGAATTGAGAAATTTTTCAGATGGCGTTGATGAAGTGGATTGTACTTATACTACTTTAAAATCTTTTTATGAAACTTCTGAATCTCTAATATTATAAATTTAATCTATTTTTGAATAAATAAATATAATAGTATTAAAAAATTAATATCTTTTTATTGTTGTTCAACCTATGCCCTTAGTATTATGACTAATAATGAAGGTAAAATAAGAAAAGAAACAATTTTTTAAGTAAAAATTTATAAATTTATTTTCTCTCACATTTTTGAATATATTTACATTTTTTTTTGCATTACAATTTTTATGTATATTTTAATAATATTTAATATATTATTTATATTCAAATTGAATTTCATTAAATTTTCCACCGAGATATTTTAATTGCAATGTTTGAGACTGCGCGGCTTCTTTCATCATCGTATAGGAAGTAGGTTCAGCTTCAAACAGCCGAGCAAACCTTGCTGGCAGGAATGTTGTGAAAGCAGCATCCAATTCTGCTACAATCCTGACTCCGAATTTGGTCTGCACTCGCTTTATTTTAGTCACTGCATACAACCCATTTGGAGTCAATTCAGCTAGCGGTTTGGTAGGTAGGAAGCTTTCCATACGGCCAACAGCGTTAAGTTTTTGTAAATCCATAGTTTTTTTTATATCTGTAAGCAAAAAATAAAATTAAAAATAATAAAATTGAATTAAAAAAAAGATTTGAAGAAAAAAAAAGGATATAATACATACCGAAAAATGTCTCTACTGCTGCTAGTGCTGATGCTGCTAGTGCTGATGCTGCTAGTGCTGATGCTGCTAGTGCTGATGTTGCTAGTGCTGATGTTGCTAGTGCTGATGTTGCTAGTGCTGATGCTGCTAGTGCTGATGCTGCTAGTGCTGATGCTGCTACTGCTGGTGCTGCTACTGCTGGTGCTGTTGCTGATGTTGGAAATCTAGGACAGAAATGATCTCTCTGGAACTGGAACCCGCATTTTAACACTGCAACCCCACTCTTCCTCAACTCCCACTCTATATTACCACCACTTGAAAACTGTGCAGGCAACTCCCCTTTAATGTAAACTCTGTACCCCCACTCTATTACAATAATGCGCACGCAAAGTTGCTGAAAAGAGAGGGAGAATGCGCGCGCAACTCACCATATACTATGTATCCCCTCTTTATTATAATAATGCGCACGCAAATTTGTTGTAAAGAGAGGGATGTGGTGGTAAGAGAGTGGGTGGTAAGGGGGTGGCCAAACGGGTTAAAAAATTCAAAGCATATGCAAATGATATGCAAATGAGTGGGTGGTAAGGGGGTGGCCAAGAGGGTTCAAAAATTCAAAAATTCCCGCGAGCAACAGCGCCATCTCGCGACAACGGTCGGTAACACCGATCTATGGTAAAGTAGAGTTACCATAGGTCGGTAAGGTAGGAATCGAAGAGGACTGAGCTAGAACCGACATAGCTCTACTACTTACAATGTATAAAAAAATCTATCAAAAACCTATAAATCTATAAAGTTAGTTTATTAAAAAGAAAAATTTATAAACGAATAGGAGTTGAAATATTGACGTTTGGATGTGATAGACTTTAATTTTTATATAGAGAATTTTAAAACATAGTTCATGTACTTTCCAATGAAAAAAAATTCCATTCCTCCTTTTTTCAAAATTAAGACCTATTTTTCAATTTTAACCCAATTGTGTTTTAAAAAAAAATTCTTTATTTCAGTTTAAAATATGAACATTTTTCCAATAAAATATGTACAGCTTATATAGATAGTTAAAGAACAATGGGTTTTCGAAAAAATAATACAAAAAATGACAAAAAATTTGTTTTTTAAAAATATTTTTTCGAGAATCTACTGTTGATTCACTGTATACTCCCAACATTATTTTATATCATTTTTCCAATGAAAATAAGAAACAAACAATTTTAAATACCCAAATGTGTCAGATATGAAGAAATATGTCCTCATTTTATTTAAAAGAAAACCACTTTCAACACATTGAAAAATACATGAAAAATATTTTAAAATGTGTTCTTTAAGAATTTATATCTGTATATAAACTTTAGTTGAAATTAAAAAGATTTGAAAATGAAAAATGTTGCTTTACAGCTTCCTAAACTTACACCAACCTACCCATATACAGCAATATTTTGCAAATAATTTTCACAAATTTAAATATTTTATCAGGACTTCTAAGGCATTCTTCCTCATATATTAATTTTCAAATGCTTTCATGTTTTTATATCGGATCCCTGCCATTAATAAAAGCAATAAGTATAATGAAAAGTCATTATTTAGAAAACACGTTATTTTTGAAAAAGGATTGAAAATGTTATTTTATATGATGATTTATATGATCAACGCATTATATATCCGTTTTCGCAAAAAACGTGCTTTCAGTTTTCATTTACGAGCCATCGATAATATGTCGTTTGTATTTTTTAATTTTATGCGCAGCTTCTTTATTAAATTATGCTTTAAAGCGTTAATTATTTTCTCAATAACGCACTTTTACTATCCGAGAAAAAGTTTAATGAAAAAAATGAAAATTACATTTATCTCAAAATGAAATGATTAACATTATTGAATTTAAAATTTAACGTTAAGGAAATGATTTCTGATATTTGGTAGAGAAATACTGTATATCAAGCAAACCCTAACAACAACAGATATTTTCAGGATATCCTATGGACGTCTAGGCGTATTCGAAAATTGAGGATATTCTAATTTCCCTGGAGCAATGGCTATCACTAGGACAGCCACAGGATATCCTGAATATCTGGATGCTATATAAAAGTTATACGTAAGCTCTATGGATCGTTTGGTAAACCTGTCCACATAATGGGCAGTTATTTTGTGCAGCATGATTATTATTTAAATCTAATGAACAAAATTCACACGTGCACAAATCTCCACATGGAAGACACGAGTTTGTTGGGGGTCGTCGGTGACAAATGCAGTATTCTGGCGCCATTCTAACTACTTGAATCTCTGTGTACTCTTGCCTGCACATTGGGCAGTTCTGCTGGTTGACTGTGTATAAGTTGCAGCACTCTTCGCACGAGGATAAATGTCCGCATGGCAGGAAACAGCGTGTTGGTGCAACGAGGCGGCAAATACAGCATACAGGTAAGTGAGCTATTAAAAAAAAATTTACATTACTGTAGAATTGTAAGACAAAATTATATCTAACTATAGTAATTAAAATTATAATTAATATATATATATATATATATATAATAAGAAAATTAATATTGAATATATTTAAATTCACGAAACATTAAATGCGTTCATTGTAATAACATTTCCCTAGTTTTTTTATCTATTTTTTTATTGTCGTACAAAAGATGTCCATTTTGGATTTAATTAAAAAACATATGTAATTGAATATGTTGTTTCTTAATTTAAATAGAATGTGTAGTGTAAAATGTATGAAATATTCCAAAAAAGTTTTTAAAACTTTTGATGCTCTGTAAGATACATAGATTGAATTTAGAACAAAAGGATGGTTTTAAGAATTTATGGTTAGAAGAGAATCAAGTCCAATTCACGGGGTTTTTAAGGCAGGATCAATTTCAGGTGGATTTCCTGGTTTTCAAATTTTGTGGCTACCCTGTTGAATCCCATTTAATTTTAATTGTGTTAAAAGTTAACTCTATTAAATAAATATAAGTAAAATGAAAATTTAATGAGCTGGAAAATCTTATTTTGAAAACTCTGTTCAATAAAAATATTTGTTTCATGAAACTTTGCTAAAAGAAAGTTTTGTTTATGTGTTTATTCTTCTTCAATTTTATAAACTGCGGAAAGAAAATACATCCGGCTCTAAAAAATCCGATCAACCAAACATTCATACTATGTAATAATTTTAGGTTTGTTAATTTACAATTACCACTGGCAAAAATTTTTTTTTATTATAGTATTTAGAACTAATTTAGGTGCTTATTTAAAAATTTAGAGCTGTTCTACTTTTAAAAAATGTATGGCACTACCAACTTGACGTCAAGTTACAAGTACCACACTTTAATAAGCAACCATTTTTAAAACACATGAATTTAAGGCTAATGTAGAGTTCTTGGAATGTTATGAATGTAGTTTTGCAAAAAAATACATTTAACCTTTAAAACTAGCAACAGAGAATTGAAAAGAAGTTTCTTTGAAAATCGCTTCTATAGGAATTTACAGCTAATTTAACATTTTACACTAAGAAAACCTGTCAGATAATATTTCCAACTCGTTTGAGCCTGGAATGCAATCCAATTTATTATTAGGGGCAAAAATATCTTGGAGAACATATCTAACTATTTAGCTGCATTTTTTTATTATAATTGAATTATAATTGAAATAATTTTAACCAATTGGATTGGTTATTTATTATTAGATCGCACTCCAAAATAAAGTGAGTTGGTTACTTTATCCAATCCTTTGTCTGAGTATACTATTTTGTTGATAAAAGTACTCGCGCTCTTTTCAACTTTTAGAAAACTAATAATTCAGAGTAAGAAAGCAGGTAACTGATCATTACCACATTGCCATAGCACACTGTAAGTACACAAAAATTTGGAATTTATTCAATATGTCAACTGCTTGGAGTTTCGTCCCTCACAACACAAGGATATTCAGGATATCCCTGGGACGTCCTGGGGATATCCATTTGCTTTTGGCGATTCGGATATCCCTAAGATATCCTCTGGATATCCATGGACATCTCTAAGATATCCCAGGGATATCCAAACCGCCGAAAACAAATCGATATCCCCAGGACGTCCCAAGGATATCCTGAATATCCTTTTGTTGTGAGGGGTAAATTAGCACACATTTTGTATATTATATTCCTATGTTTTGAATGTTGAAGTGAACGAAATTTTTTATTTGTTTCAAATTTTATTTTATTTCTCTAAACTTGAATTAGTTGTTTTCTACTATTAAAGGAGTGTAGATTCGTTTATTTACTCAATAGTTGATATTGTTTCAATTTTTTGTGGAAAACTACATATTAAATAGTAAAACTACTAATTTCATATCTACTTTTTGAAAAAGTAAAGTTTAACTTTTTCCATTCATAGATATTTTAATATAAAATTTGTAATTCTTTAGTATTCTGCAATTATTACTTTTGAGTTAGTAAATGAGTCTATATTCTATAATTAGTAGAAAACTGCTAATTCAGAACTGTGCTTTTTTACTTTCGTTAAGTAAATTCAGGTGTTACGGGTAGTTTTTTTTAGTTTTTGTTATATGGCAGAGGTTTTTAAAATAATTGATTTTCGGAAGGTAGTTTTCGATGGCTGGGTGTAAAAACATGATACATCGAATTGGCGTTGAAAAACATGATACGTCGGATTAGCGTTGAAAAACATGACATATCGTCGTTTGATTTGAAGAACATGTCACGTCGAAAACGAAATTTTTCTTTTCAAATTTCTGTTAGTACCACTGACCGCGAAATTTAAAATGGTTTGTTATATATTACATTTTTTAAGAATATATAATGATATTAAAATAATAGAAGTAAAATCTTGCACTATACACATATAATTTTGAATATTTTACATGAAATTCGTTTTAAATCAACGGGATTACAATACTGTATTTAAATGGTCGTCTGTATTATTAATTACTTTTACAGCTGTATGATAACGTCATGGGTAGCAAATCCTCCAGGAAATGAATAATTGGAGGATTTACTAGAAAAAATTTACCTAAGTTAATTTAATTTATTTAATAATTGTGTTTTAAAAAATATACTTTACTTACTCTCCATGATTGACTCTTCAAAAAAATATTTAAACAACACCAATTGTAATAGAATATTTACAATATAAATATTTATAATAAAATAGAATTATTTATAAAATCACAGATTTTATCAATCTAAATAGAAACTATATAAAAAGCTATTTAACCTAATTTTTCTTTGAACTGACATATTATGAAGCAGAATCATTTGTTTCATAAAACAGTTTTAAAGATTTGACACATTTTAAATTTCACGGTCAGTGTTACAAACAGAAATTTAAAAAAAAATTTCGTTTTTGACGTGTCATGTTCTTCAAATCAAACGACGATGTATCATGTTTTCCAACGCTAATCTGACGTATCATGTTTTTCAACGCCAATTCGATGTATCATGTTTTTACACCCAGCCATCGTTTTGAGGTTGTGGATAGTTCCTAACTTCCTGTGGAAGAAGTTTTTTAAATTTGATTAAGTTAAAGCACTTAAATCTCAAAATTTTTAATTTTTAATAGATATTTTTACAGGTTACGGGTAAGTAGGTCTAAATTCATGAGAAATAAATAATTGTTAAGAAATTGATTTTTAATTTTCAGGAAGCAGTTTTTGATGTTACAGGTAGATTTAGAAATATTTATTTTAGGTATAAGTTAGAGTACTAAATTAGCTTTAAATTGTTGTAAAAAAGTTGTTCGAAAAAATGTAGTTTTAGATTTTTAGGAAGTAGTTTTTAAGGTTAAGTGTTGCTGTGGAAAGAGATTTTTAAATATGTCTATATTTTAAGGTATGGTACTTATAGCTTGATGTTCAGCTGGAAGCACATTTTCTTAAAAAATGTAACAGCTCCATAATTTTAAATACAGTACTAAATAAGCTCCAAATTAGTTCTTAATTCCACCATGAAAAATCATTTTCTTATGAAAGTGCAGGTTTACCTATCTACTGATTTTTATGGAATATTCATGCGTTACAAATATTCTTTGTAAAGTTATTTTGTTATTTTCTCAGCTTCGCAGGTTAATATTTAAAATGAAAATAAAAATTCAACCTTCTTCATTCGCACCTTGATTTTCATTCCCATGATGTTCTCCATCATTATTATCTTCGCGAACGATAACTTCTGCTTGATACTCTTCGTGGACAATTTCTTCATTCCTTCTGCAATCGGGTTTTGTGCGTCTAGTTGAGCAACAGGAGCTATATATTAAAAATTAAAATCATGTGTTATAAAACTCTTATCTGGGAACTGTTGTGCATTTTGTTGTTAAAATTTGTTTAATTATTCTAATTAGTTTTATTCAAATTTTTCGAAAATTCTATTATTTAACATTTTTCAATTCAAAATTTTTTAAACTTCAATTTCTACTTAAAGTTTTCTTAAAGGATATTCAAAGAATTTAAATTAAAAAGATTTCAAATTAAAATTTCATGAAATTCAATTATATGAAAATCTAAATTGTAAATTTAAACAATTCAATTATTTTTAAAAGTTTCATCCAAAACTTTTTGTGTCCTATTAATTTTTATTTATAATAATTAAATTTTTCAAAAATTCAATTATTTTAAAGATTTTGGAATTAAAAATTTTCTAAATTTTAAATATTTTATGAAATTTTTAAGAAATCTTTTTTAATTCAAAAAGAAATTAATTATTTTCAATAATTTTTTGTACAGCTTTTCAAAAATTTAATTATTTAAAATGTTTAAAAATTAAATTATCTAAAATTTAATTATTGACGAAAAAATTAGCAATTTAAATTTATATAAAGTTTTAATTAAAAAAATATTAAAATTCAATTATTTATAAATTATTGAAAAAAAAATTATTTAAATCTTAAAAATTTAATTATCTGAAATTTATTGTAAAAACTGTTCATAAATTGAAATTCAAAAATTTACTGAAATTCAATTATTTTTAAACATTTTTTCTAAATATTTTATGCCTAATTTTAACAGATTTGAAATTTGAATTGTTGTAAATTTAAATTGCTCAATTTTTTTTACAAATTTTTCACAATCATTGAAATTTACAGAATGTTTAGAAAATATTGAATTGAAAAATATTTTAAATCATAGATTTTCGATGAATTTGATTAAAATTACCGAAAAATAATTGACTTCGCAAAGAATTTTAGATACAAATTTTAAAAATAATGAAATCTTCAAGATTTACATTTTAAACTAGAGAAAAAAAATTATATTTTTTAAAAAAATATTTCCAAATTGTTAAATAAGTCGAAATAGTCGCATATTATTAAAATAAGTCCAAAAAGTCAGATTTTTGTCAAATCGTCGGAAAAAGTCGTACAATCAGAGGCCTGAATTATTATGGCCCTGAAGTTTTGAATGCTTAAATGAACGAAATTCTTGTCTATTCTGATATATTCCAAAACTATTTTATTTTAATAAGAAATTGAAAATAAATTCAAAATTTATTAAGTAAATAATACATTTTTTAATGTTTAAACTAAAATTTTATACTAAAATTCAAACTTAAAAAAGTATCAAAAAAATTTGTTCATTTGAACGTTTAAAACTTTAGGGCCATGAATTATTAAAAAATATTCTTACCAGGAACAATATCACGACCGACTATCAACAGTAGTGGAGTTTGATCGTCTTGTCCTGCTAAATATACCGTGAGATATTCTGATCTTGACTCTGCAAATCTGTCAGAACATCTTGATATAAACATCGTTCTGTTTATTTGAAAGAATTTCAGCTCATCCCATGACATGGTAATTCTGGAAGCTACGCTTCTGTTGATCAATCTGGACATTTGGATTCCGTTGCGATTTCCTCTATTAATTTTAGCAACGTCCCGAAAGACTGTAGTTTGCAGAGACAGAATCTCTTCTACGGTGTAAGAATCACATTATAACACAATAAAGTAAACTAGAGCTATTGTAATGTAATATAATTAGGACAAGAATTTGTAAATTACTTACCCGTAAATTTCCACGTAAGTGGAAATGTTCAGATTTTTACATGTAATTGATTACCGTAATTTTCAAATACATTAGTTAATCTTTTTATTTTCCGATAAACCGAAAAGTTGTTAGGTTTTACTCCTTCTTAACCACATTTCTGTGTAACATTCGTTAAAAGGATTTAAGATGTTTGAGGAATTTTCGGACAATTGGCGTACCAGTTCCAAAAAAGCTCCTTCAATTTCCTGTGGAGGCAAGAGCGGTAGAGAGAAAACTGATAAAAGGAAAACTTTAATATCGTTTCTACCACCTTCCACTTCGAAGTTATTGACATCATGCTGCATAGCCAATTTTTGGTTTTCCTGCAAAAAAGAAGTTAAGAAAAACATTATAAAAACAACCAATAGACAAAGTTTTTTTGCATAGAAGATTTGTTTACTGAACAATTATATTTCATTCCTTTGAACATTTTTTAAGAAAAGAAGAGTGGTCCGGGTGAAAAATATTTGAAATTTAGAAATATATGTTAGATATTAGAAACATTTGAAATTGCAAGCACTTCGTGTTATGATTTAACTTAGTTTTTTTAAACATGTAATAGAGAGGGGACTTTTATTATACTGAATTTAAGTACGAAAGTTTATTTAATTAAGAGCATTTGAACCTTCGTGACGTCACAAATCATGGCGCATGACACGCAAACTTCTCAGGTATGTGAAAAGCACAATTTTGAATATTTTTTAAAAAAACCTTTTGGAAAATGTTCAGAATAACATAGACTCTGTCTGTTATGTGCGGAAAATTCAAAATTTTGCGTTTAAAACGTTTTTTAAACAATGTTAAGGTCACAAATCATGGCGCATGAAACGCAAACTTCTCAGGTATGTGAAAAACACAATTTTGAATATTTTTTAAAAAAACCTTTTGGAAAATGTTCAGAGAAACATAGACTATGTCTGTTATGTGCGAAAAATTCAAAACTTTGGGTATAAAACGTTTTTTAAACAATGTTTAAGTTGGTTGTCACAAGTAAGGAAAAATACACGAATTGCTTATATGTAGGCATTGTTTAAAAAACGTTTTAAACGCAAAATTTTGAATTTTTCGCACATAACAGACAGAGTCTGTGTTATTCTGAATATTTTCCAAAAGGTTTTTTTAAAAAATATTCAAAATTGTGTTTTTCACATACCTGAGAAGTTTGCGTGTCACGCGCCATGATTTGTGACCTTAACATTGTTTAAAAAACGTTTTAAACGCAAAATTTTGAATTTTCCGCACATAACAGACAGAGTCTATGTTATTCTGAACATTTTCCAAAAGGTTTTTTTTAAAAAATATTCAAAATTGTGCTTTTCACATACCTGAGAAGTTTGCGTGTCATGCGCCATGATTTGTGACGTCACGAAGGTTCAAATGCTCTTAACCGAATTCTTATATCGCAAGATTTCTGTTTTATTGCACTTTTATACACAACAGATCCTCTAGATTTACTAATTTACTACTACTTTCCCTTATTACACACGTGAGTCCACTTTGTCGATTTTCTTTTAGGAGATAAGGGGCCATTCATTAATTACGTAAGGATGAATTTGGTTCATTTTGACCCTCCTCCTATTTCCATGTAAGGACACATCAGATTTTTCGGACACCCTCCCCCTTCTTTCGTAAGATTTTACCAAGAGTTCCTCTAGAAAACATTAAATCGTTTAATGTCATGCAAAAAGGTTTTCTCTTTTGTCAAATTTAAATTTATTTGAAGCATAACTTTATTTAACATTAAAGTCAAGTGTCTTTAGTGTAAACTATGAAAAATATAATTAACAAACAGTGTAGGAATATGTAAAACAAATATTATTTACTGTAATCTTTTAACCCAATAAATCCCAAACAGAAACGAACCATTCATTAACCCATCTATTGGATTCATAAGCAAATCAAAAACAGAAACCTATTTTTTTGTTTTTCATTTCCAATTGTTTACCAATAATTGTATTAAAAAAATTACTAAAAGGTTTAATATTTTTAAAAACTAAAATAACAATTTATTTTACAGGAAAAAACAAGAATCTTTTTCTTTTGTTATTTTTTTGTACAACTCTTACTTTGTTTATAAAATAGTTATAAACAAATTATGGTTTCAGTCTAGACTTGAGAAAAAGCATTAAAACAACTAAATATTGGATTCATAGGAAAATCAAAAATAAATAGACACCTGTTTTTTTGTTTTTCATTTGTCTAACAATAATTGTTCAAACAGGTTAGCAAAAAGTTAAAAATTTTTAAAAACTAACTATGCCAATCGATTCTACGGAAAAAAACAGGTGCCTACATATTTTAGAATTGACTATGAATGCAATAGTTAAGTATTTTAGTGCTTTTATTATCTATTTACATTTTAATTCACAACAATTAAAGTGAAAAGTAATTAAACATTTTTTTTGTAATTAATGGTTTGACGTAAAAATTTTCTGATAATTCCTGATTTTTCCAGGCAAATTTAAATTCCTGGGTATTTACCGGTTTTTCTAGTTAGTAGACACCCTGTAATTATAACAATACAAATGGAAAATACTTGTCAAAATCTTACGTAAGATAGCTTCTACCCCCCACCCCACGTAAGACGATGTAGATTTTATAAACCCCCCCTCCCCCTAAAGAACCCTTACCCTTTTGATATAGACGTACACAAATATTTAATAATAAATACCAGTACCTCTTGATAATGAAACAGACTACCGTATACTTTTGCATTTGAAAATAGCTGCGTAATACTGGAATGTAAATTTCTTCCAAAGCTTGTTATTACAGAATGGATATTCCATTCTGGAACTGTTCTTCAAATTTATCGGAAGACTGCAGTGTACGCTTCGGTTGAGTTGATGCTTATAAGTGCCCATGCACAGGGAATCACCTACAAAAATCACAAAAGGAGTAAATCGTGGAATGAAAATATGTTTCATAAAAAAAAAATATGTTCACTTTTAATAAAATTTGCAAAGGACGCGTATAAAATAAAATGTGAACAAAACGGCTGGATTTTACTGCAACAGTATTTTAGAAAATAAATTTCTATTTATAAATCATGTTATGTTATGAAAATTAATCAAATTAAATTCTTATTAAAACGAAAATTATTAATAAAAATCTTATATTGGATCTAATTTAATTATTGAACAACATTTTTTCACTGAATTATTGTTTAATAGAATTTCCATTTAGCCGAAATTTTATATAGAATAGATACGTTAGTGATGACCTGTTTTGAAAAAATATTATTATTTACAACTCGAAATATATAATCGTTTAAAAAAATTTATGAGGAAATGAATTTTAAGATTACTTAATACAATTGTGCATAAAGGTGCATATTTAACAAAATTTTCATAAAGCCAAACAAATACCCATTACATTTCCATTACTACGTGAACCTAAAATTTAAGCAGTCAACAATTATGGTAAAAATTCTGATTGGACAAAGTTTGAATTCTGTTAAATTGATATTCTGCTTATGTGTAAATTCTGACAGTCATTAGTTCCGTTACATTTAAATTGCTTTAACATGAAAATTATGTAGACTGGAAGATCTGCTATACAAAATTTGGACTAAATGGAAATTCTGTCAAAACAAAAATACAGTTAATTAAAAATTTTTCCATACAAAAATTTGGTTCAATATAACTTATAAAATTCGCTTATATGAAAATTCGAAGTTATTAATTCCGGAAAATTATAAATTGGAACGTATTAAATGCCTGTGATATGTTTAATAAAGAGATAAAAATTCAAAGATTACTTACATAGTCATCTTTTATACATAAAATTGATATCAACTCCTTGCACCAGGCAGAAGATGGAATAAGGTTATTCAAGTTGGGTGGGGGAAAGCCAAGATGGATGATGGCTGGTGCACCTATCAGCCTATCAGCATTCATTCCCACGAGAAATTTCTCGTGGGAATGAATGCTGCTGTCGGTGAAATGTGTATGAGGAAGTTGTCCGATTCTGACATAAGAGATCTGAGAAAAATGTGGTCAGCAATAGTAACAGCTTGGAAATTTCTTCTTGTCACAAGGGTAGTGACTTAAAGTTAAATTATTTCTTGTAGTATAGAAGATATATTAAACGTAATACAGTACTTTTCACCTTTGATATATGTAAACAGGGTAATTTCTTCAAAAAATAGGTGCCAAAAATTATAACAACTTGTTTAAAGTCGTACTAGCTATAAATATTAAAGCTTTTAATTCTTAAACTTTTTTAGTCTTTGTCATGAAGTACTTTCATTTAAATAAACCTGAAGTTCAATATACAAACTGAAGTTACTTAAGTATAAAAAATTCGCATACATAAGAATAATGTATACTTTGTATATTAAATACTGCAAAAAATACGGATCGAAACAATTTTTTTATTTTGTAAGATTGTTCCGTTTTTCTACTTTTTATACTATTTATTTATTACAGGATTTTTTAGTTTCTATTACACATAAAATTTTTTTTAGAAAATTATACTAATAAGGAATATAAGAAGTTTTGACTATAAAACTTACAATGGAGCTATCATGTTGTAGATATGCCTTGCGTTTTGGGGTTGACTTGTCGCACTGCGATACAGCTCCCTCCGAAAAGATTGTTCCTCTTCTTGCCTTGCGTTAGGCATATGAGTGTGTTCCACAGAAATCTCGAATGTTCCATTTCTTCGAATGGTACCTCGCCCAGGGCAACCTCTACTTCTGTGATACTTGCATATTAGATATCTAAACAAATAAAACAATTATCTGATGCTGAACATTCACTGTGACCTTCACATTAACTAATAATTAAAGTTATTTACAATAAAGTAATAAAACACTTGCTTACGTAATTCCATTTTTTCGTTGATTCCTGACATAAAAGTGCCCATAAAAATTCTGCATTTCTCTGAGTGGTCCTCTCTGGTTTACTGCACCATTGTTCCCTCTGTAATTTAATTATTTAGAATTAATTACCTTAAATTTTTATTATTTAAATTAACTAATATGTTTATTGTGAGATGTTAAATTAACTGAAAAACAATTTTAAAACAAAATTATTGGTTACAATTAAAAAGTAAGTAGCTGAAATAAGTAAAAAAATACTCACGCGTTGTACGGAGGATTGTCTTCTACATTATCTTCCATGGCTGTAGTGCATTTAATTTTGGAATGATGCAAAATATATTAATCTTTATTGCTTCCTCGTGGAGAATGTTTTGTAGTCCTTTAAATAATAAAATTTTTTAAAATAATTTAAACAAATTTTCTTCTATATAGCAATATGTTACATGAGTCCCTGAACAAACGTCCCGGATAAACATATGTATGTGTGTTGATTACTTGTATTGTGAACAGGATAACTCGAAATTAAAAATTTTTTCTTTCTTCTATCAAAAAATTTTTCATATTGATGTTGTCGCCGTAAGAAACAACTAATAATATTATTTTTGTGAGTTGATTACTCAACTGAGAACAAACTCTACTTTATTTATTTAACAAGCAAAGTACAAAAACTTGGAGATAATCAATCCTTCCAAAGCTTCACTGAGTCTTTTTGGAAGACAATTTACTAACCGTGCTATCACTTTGAGTAGCGACTAATTAATCTGACCACACCTGCTTATGCATTAGATTTAAAGGACTGTGCAATAGTCTCCACTCTTTACAATACACACTCATACTTCATACTGTCGACATTGATATTGAAAATAATATATAATTAAATCTTATTCTTTGCAACAAAATGAATCGATTGGTCTTTATGAATGTATATTGTATTGGGAATTAATAGAATTACTTCAATTGAAGCTGCAAAATTTACTTTTTTTCTTTATTTATAATTATGTTTAAAATATTTTAAAACGAACGCCCCACGTGAAAAGGTTCCCGGAATTTTTGCAGAGTGACTCTGGGAGTAGTTCCCAGAACATTCTGAGAACATTCCCGGAATTTTTTTGGTTTTTTCCCAGAATTCATGGACTTTTCGTTTCAATCAAATAATTGATACTCCGGGATGACTCCAACGTACATCCAGATATCCAGGAGTCAATTCGACAACTTCTCCAGGGAATTTTAACTGTAATCAAATAATCGATACTCCAGGATGACTCCAACGTACATCATGATGACTAGGAATCAATTGGAACACTTCTCCAGGGAATTTTAGCTGTAATCAAACAATCGATACTCCAGGATGACTCCAACGTACATCATGATGACTAGGAGTCAATTGGACAACTTCTTCAGGGAATTTTCGTTTTAACCAAATAATCGAGTTTCTATGACAACTCCAACGTACATCCAGATACCCAGGTGTCAATTGGGCAACTTCTCCAGGGTATTTTAACTGTAATCAAATAATCGATACTCCAGGATGACTCCAACGTACATCATGATGACTAGGAGTCAATTGGACAACTTTTTCAGGGAATTTTCGTTTCAACCAAATAATCGAGTTTTTAAGACAACTCCAACGTACATCCGGATACCCAGGAGTGTATTGGTCAACTTCTTCAGAGAATTTTACACGGAGAAAATTTAAGTATCACTTTTTGTTAAACTCATATGTATTTTTAGTAAATTGACTACTAAAGTGGGGAAAAAACGAGAAGAAGACTAAATTTCTTATTTAATAGAAGTCTCTTTAACAATATATGACCTCTTTTTTTCAATATTTAGTAGTCAAGTTAAGAAAAATTCGACGTGGACAGTGTCGTAATTTAAAAGGGTTAGATGAAGCCCCGACTTAATCGCAACAATTATTCATTAACTTTTAATTATATCATAAATAATATTAATGAGGCTTTAATGTATAGGTTATTTTTCTTTTTCTGTGTTTAAAATTTCACAATCCGGTTAGATTATACATTGAAAATACATTTTTTATGAAGTTAGGGGCGCTTAAAACATCAAGTACTCTTCTGAGCACATGTGAGCTTGTCTATGAAACCCCCCCAAAAAAATATATCATGTCATGTACATCTCTTATATGAGAGATTCTTTTTCAATCGCCCTAGCCCAAAAAGTCAATGTTCTGGGATTGGCTTCATACTTTGGTAAATTGTTGTCCGATATGATAGTAATAAATCCCTAAAATATAAACACAGTTTTCCTAAAAGTATCAAATTGAGACCAAAAATTGCATCAAATCTTTGCAACGTTTTGATGCACATAAGTTATATCAAAAAGAGATCGTTTTGTGTATCATTTTTAGAAATGCTACACGAAACGGTCTCATTTTTTGATGCAAAAAATTTAATCAATTTATATCAATCATGGCCGAATTGAATCGACTCAAAATTAAAGGAATTTTTTTCAGATATTTTGGTAATAGTACAATTGCGGAGACCATTTCACTATTTAATTTGAAAATGAAAATAACAGAAAATCAAAGACAATGTGCAATTCGATAATTAAAATGTGACAGCTTATAAACATAACCTAAAATGCATGAGAAAAAATTTGTCGATAAAATCAATATAGCCAAGCTTTTTAGAAGGTAGATGGCAGTTTTGCTTTTTATAAAAACGATTCAGAAAAAATTTAAAAAAAGAAAATAGATGAGTGCTGCCATCTACCTTCTAAAAAGCTCGGCTATATTGATTTTATCGACAAATTTTTTCTCATGCATTTTAGGTTATGTTTATAAGCTGTCAATTTTTAATTATCGAATTGCACATTGTCTTTGATTTTCTGTTATTTTCATTTTCAAATTAAATAGTGAAATGGTCTCCGCAATTGTACTATTACCAAAATATCTGAAAAAAATTCCTTTAATTTTGAGTCGATTCAATTCGGCCATGATTGATATAAATAGATTAAATTTTTTGCATCAAAAAATGAGACCGTTTTGTGTATCATTTCTAAAAATGATACACAAAACGATCTCTTTTTGATATAACTTATGTGCATCAAAACGTTGCAATAGAAAAAAATACAACCAAGTTTACTGTGAACGCATTAAAAAAATATTTGTAAAAATTAGAGGGGGATGAAGTTTTGACGTTAAGGGTAAAATTGTCATTTTCAAATCCGTATAACTATGACAAAAGTTAATGGATTTTAATTTATCTATAATGAATTTTGATGCATTTTTCACGTACTTTTCAAAAATGTATACAAAATTTTAAAAAAATAATTTTTGACCCCTTTTTTTCAAAATCAACCCTTATTTTTCGATTTTCACCCCTTCGGGAAAGTAAAGAGGGACAACAATAATTTTGTGAGAATCCTAATATTAAAAAATCATAAATATTAAATCCAAGTTTATAATTCTTTTAATTATTGAGAATCAGTTTGAAACGAAAATTCCCTTAAGAAGTTGTCTAATTGATTCCTAGTCATCATGATGTACGTTGGAGTCATCCTGGAGTATCGATTGTTATATTACAGCTAAAATTTCCTGAAGAAGTTGCCCAATTGACTCCTAGTCATTATGATGTACGTTAGAGTCATCCTGGAGTATTGATTATTTGGTTAAAATGAAAATTCCCTGAAGAAGTTGTCCAAATGACTCCTAGTCATCATGATGTACGTTGTAGTCATCCTGGAGTATCGATTGTTTTATTACAGCTAAAATTCCCTGAAAAAGTTGCCCAATTGACTCCTAGTCATTATGATGTACGTTAGAGTCATCCTGGAGTATTCATTATTTGGTTAAAATGAAAATTCCCTGAAGAAGTTGTCCAAATGACTCCTAGTCATCATGATGTACGTTGGAGTCATCCTGGAGTATCGATTGTTTTATTACAGCTAAAATTCCCTGAAGAAGTTGCCCAATTGACTCCTAGTCATTATGATGTACGTTAGAGTCATCCTGGAGTATTGATTATTTGGTTAAAATGAAAATTCCCTGAAGAAGTTGTCCAAATGACTCCTAGTCATCATGATGTACGTTGGAGTCATCCTGGAGTATCGATTGTTTTATTACAGCTAAAATTCCCTGAAGAAGTTGCCCAATTGACTCCTAGTCATTATGATGTACGTTAGAGTCATCCTGGAGTATTGATTATTTGGTTAAAACGAAAATTCCCTGAAGAAGTTGTCCAATTGACTCCTAGTCATTATGATGTACTTTGGAGTGACCCTGGACTATCGATTGTTTGATTAGAGCTAAAATTCCCTGGAGAAGTTGCCTAATTGACATCTGGGTATCTGGATGTACGTTGGAGTTGTCATAGAAACTCGATTATTTGGTTGAAACGAAAATTCCCTGAAGAAGTTGTCCAATTGACTCCTAGTCATCATGATGTACGTTGGAGTCATCCTGGAGTATCGATTATTTGATTACAGTTAAAATTCCCTGGAGAAGTTGCCCAATTGACACCTGGGTATCTGGATGTACGTTGGAGTTGTCATAGAATCTCGATTATTTGGTTAAAACGAAAATTCCCTGAAGAAGTTGTCCAATTGACTCCTAGTCATCATGATGTACGTTGGAGTCATCCTGGAGTATCGATTGTTTGATAACAGCTAAAATTCTCTGGAGAAGTGTTCCAATTGATTCCTAGTCATCATGATGAACGTTTGAGTCATCCTGGAGTATTGATGGTTTGATTACAGCTAAACTTTTCTGAAGAAGTTGTCCAATTGACTCCTGGATATCTGGATGTACGTTGGAGTCATCCCGGAGTATCAATTATTTGATTGAAACGAAAATTCCATGAATTCTGGGAAAAAACCAAAAAAATTCCGGGAATGTTCTCAGAATGTTCTGGGAACTACTCCCAGAGTCACTCTGCAAAAATTCCGGGAACCTTTTCACGTGGGGCCAAAGAACAGCTTTTGATTATGGTGCTACACAAATACAAGTAAAAAATTTAAAAATCGGGAATAAGCAGTACGTAACATTACTCTTTTCAATTTCTCATACTGCAATTAATTTAAAGAAACTGCTACATATCCGGTTTTCTCTACTCTTCCCTACTTAAAACTTCGAAAAACCTTTTAGAATCGGCATCTATGTAATTTCTAGAAATTATTTTTTCGTTGTAGATGTGCTTTTGAAGAAAAAACTTTTACTTTTTGTATTTTCGGACTTGAAATTTGTTATCTAATCAAATTAAAAAGGATGGTCAGTCAATTTTGACCGGTACTGTACAGAAAAATTTGTTTGCAGAAAATAATGTTACATCATAAAAGTATTTTTCCTGTTATCAAAAACAAGTGAAATATTAGGTCTATTTGTTGCTACTTGAAATGGGATGCATGAAAACTCTCTACATTATACTAAAAGAAAATTTTAAGGCAATGAATTAAAGAACGCACAATTTTAACTTATCATAATTTTATAACAGATATTTTATATTAAATTAAAATTTTGGTATCTCAGTATTTTTATTTAACACAATTTTTATATAACTGCACATTTAAATAACAGATTTATTAGTTCAACGATTTTTTAGTATAATTTTCATTTACCAGGGTATATGTTTTTATGTTTCTCTAATTTTCAATTCAGAGAATATTCAAGTTGTCGAATTTCCATGTGATATAAATTCCAAATATCCGACGTTACGCCCCCCATAAGCATTAACCTATACCAGAAGTGAATGTTTTCTTTTTGGAGGTTTGTTATATTTTTGGAGGCACACTGATTAAAGAAAAATAGGACTCCCTACTGCTATTGACACGTAATTCCTAATATACTACAAACTCTAGAAATTTCCAAATCGTGAGAAAAGTATTACTTTTGCATATTTTATAATATTATAGAATTATTCAAATGACATTAAAGCTAACATAAATCAAAAGCAGTATTGATCAATATTTTTACAAAAACAATAATAAAAAATTAAACCTTTTGCTTCCTCGTGGAGGAAGCTATGTAGTCCTTTCGTTTATAAACTTTTTAAAAATGGTGAAAACAAATTTTCCTCTATATAGAAACATGTTATATGAGATCCTGATCAATTGTCCGGATGTATGTATGTGTGTGTGTGTGTGTGTGTGTATGTGTGTGTGGATCGTTTTTGTGAACACGATATCTTTAACAGGTTTTAATGGATTTGGATAAAATTTGGTAGGCTTATTTAACACATTAATCTCTTAAAAATGACGAGAGGATTTTTAAAAATACCCCAAAAAAAAAATTTTATCGTCTTTTTTCCAAAAATTTTTTTTTAATTGAAAAAATTTTTAAATCGAAAAATTTAAGGTAATATATAATATAATCGTCTTCTTTATGTCAAGATGAATCGATTGATATATATATAAAGTATAAATTTGATTGAAATTTAAAGAATTAAAGAAAGTTAAAAAATCAAAAATTCTCATTTTAGCTAAAAAATGATGTGTTTATTTAAATTCATGTTTATATATGAAATAATTTTATTCCCTGCATTGAAACGAATTGGTTGGTATATATAAAGTATAGATTTGATTTAAAATTTGAGAATTAATAAAAATTGAAAAATCGAAAATTCATATTTTAGCTAAAAAATTTTGTGTTTTTTTAAAATTCAAGTTGATGAATAAAATAATTGTATTCCTTGCATTAAAACGAATCGATTCGTATATATAAAGTTTATGTTACACTCAAAATTAATTAAAATTTTCTTTATTTTTCAAAAAATTTAATTAATTTAAAACATTTTTAATTCGAAAGTTTTTAAATCAATCAATTGAATTGGACAAATTCATTGCTTCCTTCACGAGGAAGCGAATTTTTTGCTTCACACAGTGAGGAAGCATAATGTTTATGAAATAAACATAAAGGACGCCCTCCTTGTTTATTCTGTTAGTTTTGAAAACCCTTTCATGAAACTTCTGAATTTTTTCGAAATCTTTTTATATGAATATACAATATACTACACTTTTATTTTTAAATGAATTATTTTTAAGTCTTCAATAATAATTTACATTTCTTATTTATCTACCTGCAATATATGTGCTGAGATAATATTTTGGAAAATATTACTAGCCAGTTAACGGAAAACATATTTAACATTAGAGAACAATCATAAAATTTTTTTATAAAATAGAATTTCAGACTCCAGATTTTGTGGCAACTAACATAAAAATAATTATAATCCTTAAAATAGTAATATTATTTAATTAAATGTCACCAAAAATTATTTCTTTGTAATAAAAGATAATGCAGTTTCAAAATAAAATTTATACCTTTTTATACCGAGCACATCATTTAAGCATAACAATATTGCCAACAATTCTCGGAAATTTTGAGTCAACACTGAATCAACCTTGATTATGTCCGCCCTATGAAAATATTGCCTGACAATGTAATGTAAACAATTTTATAATATTTGACGCGGCAGAAAAAAAGAAACCCTATTATTTTAAAAATTTTAGGTTATGTTTGTAATTTTTTAAGTAAAAATACACAAAGATAATCAATTCTTAATACAAACCTTTTATGCCTCAATATTCCACGGCAATGTTTTCACAGGGCAGACATAATCGATATTGAGTCAATGCTGTCTCAACATTGCCGAACAATATTAATAATATTGACACAACATGTGTGTCACAGTATTTCCAAATTACTGACCTAAAAATTTTTTCTTAATTACTGCGTTCTAAGTTAGAGTAACATAATTATGTTTTAAATATATTTATTTAAAAGTAGAATTATGTATTTTAGAATAAATTAAAGAATATATAAAATTGTTTTTTTTATTTAAATGTATAAATATTTACGATTATAATTAATTAAACGTGCCCGTCCAAAAGAGTGCAAGAATGGGGAACTGTGGGTGTTTACGAGATGTACGACCGGAGGCGCCCCGGGGCCGAAAAGGGTTCTCAACTTGAATTTTGTTTGTAACAACGTTTGCAACCTATGAACGAGCTTTATGCACTACGACTTTGTTATTGTTATGCATATTCCCATATGAATTGTTAAATGTTAAATGACATTTATAAAACTAATTAAATTGTTATTGTATTATTAGTGACAATGTATAAAAGTTAATGTGTAACACGTTTCAAGTTTTTATTGGATAATCCATGGTTCTGCAGGAGTTTTGGTTGTAAGAATTTAGCGGATAACATTTTTGAGGTTAGTTTTAATTTCATTTAATAATAAATCGAACTTACTAATATTTAATTATTTTTTCTCATTAGTGTAGAAAAGTTGTTGCTCATAAATATTGAATGTAAATTTCAATTAATAACTATAATTAAGCAATTGATTGTGTATTTAATTATTGCATTTAGCTATTTTTTATTTTGAGATAAGTTTAAATATTATTTTTTATTTTCAATGATTTTCAATGAAAGAAAGATAAACATTATTAAAAATGTATGAGTTCGTAAATTCGTTAATGGGAAATTGAAGGTTATGTTTATGATTTTTGGAGTGTAAATACACATAAAGGAAATTAACTGATAGGGTAAAATAAGGATATTTTTATATTTTCTTTTTATCTGAAAAAACTACATTGCATTTTACAAAAGTAAAAAAACTTTTTATCAAGGTTTATTTTTGTTTACAAAAATCATTAAAAAAGACATTTTTTCCAGATTGTAGAAAGTTAAGCTTGAATAAATAAGTCGCGTTGCAGTTGATTCTTGTATTTTTGGAAAGTTAGGATTTTTCGATGGATAGATGTTCAAGATGTAAGGGACAGCATTCTCAAGAAAGTTGCAAAACGAATTTCAAAAATTTATTGTAAAATAAATTTTTATTCACCCTAAACTAAAGAGGTACTGATAGCAATAATTGTATAATTGGGTTAAATATTTCATCATAAAATGTTTTGTTAAATTTTTTTTATTAATAATAAAAAAAAATTAATCATTTCCTTTTTGCAGGCAAAGGAATTTATTACTATTTCTTGACGACACAACTATCAAGCTCTTCTTTTTTCTACACTTATATAGCAGCGTGTAATTTCTCTAAAAATCCATATTTTATTTAATTACTTTATTTAGAATTTAATTACCTCTTACATTTCCCCTAGTTTCTGATTTAATATGTGTATTATTGAAATTAAATTTGTGTTCTCTAAATCACTTGTGAGTATTTTTTAAGTTCTGCAATAAATAATAACAAACTGAAACAATTTATTTATTAATCTTAAAAGTTAGAAAACTAGATTAAACAAAGCGAAAGAAAAAAGAACAGTAGTACATTCCAGTAAGTAGAGTTTCTCAAGTTAAGAAATTTAAAATTTTTTCCATTTTATAAATACTATATTTTTATAGAATATTATAGATAGATAAAGTATAAATAGTAGATAGAATTATACCCTACTGAAAATCCCTGTATAAGATCTTGTACAACTTCCTGTACAGGATCAGCAACTGAACTTGTACAAGTTCTGACCAGTTCCTGTACAGGAAAATGCATACGAATTTGGAACAAGTTCATGTGTGAGATCTTGTACAAGATCTGGTGCAAGATCTTGTACAAGAAAGATGCTTGCACAAGAAAATGTTCATGTACAATTTCATGTATAAGTACTTGTACATGAACACGTCCATGTTCTTGCACATGTTAATTCATGTTTTTCTTTACTAAAAATTAAAAACTTCAAAGGCTGCGCAATAGTTTACTTTAACCTTTACAGCTGCGCAATAGTTTTTAGCATGCATGAGTTACGAATCTTAGTGGTTAAAAATTATCAAAATCTCAAATTTTATTAAAAAAAAAAATTTTACAACTATTTCATGTGCAAGAACATGAACGTGTTCATGTACAAGTACTTATACATAAAATTGTACAAGATCATGTACATTTTCTTGTACAAGTATCTTTCTTGTACAAGATCTTGCACCAGATCTTGTACAAGATCTCACACATAAACTTGTTCCAAATTCGTATGCATTTTCCTGTACAGGAACTGGTCAGAACTTGTACAAGTTCAGTTGCTGATCCTGTACAGGAAGTTGTACAAGATCTTATACAGGGATTTTCAGTAGGGTAGATATTTAGAATATACTTTCTAACAATTTAAAATTACAATTGAATGACAATTACAATTTTCTGTTAATAAGAAATGATTTAGGTAACATAACCTAAAAATAAAAAATATTCCTTAATGACAGAAAATTGTAATTTTTATTCACGTGCAACTTTTAAGTGTTTAAATTGTTTTTACTGCAAATTTGGTTCCTCCTTAAGAGTTATCAATTCTTTCTTGCTCAAGCATATTCATGATATTCGTTCTTTTTTGAACAGCAGGTGGATTAATTACTCCATTTTCTTCATCTACATCATTAAGAATAATTTGAGCAACATGATTATTTATTTCATGCAGTATTTCTTCATTCATGTCATCTTCCAAGTCCAAGCAGATATTATGAAGAACGCAACAGGCAATGATAATTAATGGTCCGTATGCGACGTTTTGTAAATACAAATAGAATAATCGTCTAAAACGACCTTTCAATAATCCGAATGCCCGCTCTATACTCATTCTTGTTTTTGATAGAATGGTATTAAACCGAACCTGAGATGGAGTTAAATGGCCGTTATCTTTGAAGGGTACCATGAGAAACGGTTGCAATTTATATGCAGCATCTCCAAGAATATGCATCTCTTCGGGACAAAAATTTTCTGATGCTGTTATCAATTGCTGCCCCATAGGGCTCATTTCAAAGAGACGGTTATCATGGACACTACCACAAACGCCTGCGAAAACATCAAGGAATCTTCCTTGACTGTCACACATCCCTTGAAGAAGGAGTGAGTGGAACCCTTTGCGATTGACGTAACTTCCAGGATTAGTGGATGGAGCCCTGATCTCTACGTGACAACCATCCACTGCAGCAAGAACATTAGGAAAGCCACCAGCATTGCTGAAATCTCTCGCTACTTGGTGAAAATTATTCGCTTCGGGCCACTTAATATACTCTCCTGACAATGCGTTGAGAACATGACTGACGCTAAGCATACAATTCCACGCAGTATCTTTGCACACTCCAAAGCGATCAGCTACTGTTCTAAAAAGTTATAAAATAGTATTTAATAAATCCACATTTGTATGTAACAAAAAATTTCGATAGGCAAGAGTAGCCAGAAAATTGTTTGCATGGCAATTTATTTTGTATGCCTTTTTAATAAACTTTCTAATTTCTTTAATAAATTACATAAAATTTCATATAAATTGTGAAATATAGAAATAATGTACCTGTACACTCCTTGATTGCAGAATGTCCAGAGAGCAATGCAAACTTGCTTTTCAGGAGGAACAACACTTGGTCCAATATTCTTCCTAACAAGCAAGGGACCAATTCTTTCTAAAAGATTTTGAAACGTCGTCCGTGTCATTCGAAAATGTTGTTTAAAATCTATTAAATTAATAGAATAGTATGTATTATGTCATAGTATAACAAAACATTATCACATTTAGGGTTGCCACAAGTCAGGGAGTTCAGGGGAAAGTTGGAGAAGGTAAAATTGATTGTTTGAATCAGGGAAAAGTTAAGAAATTTTGTCAAAAGTATGAGGGAATTATTAAATATTTTGAAATCATAAGAGCATTCTGGGTATTTGTGTTTACAAATTTAATAAATAATTGAATTTGAAACTCTTCACATTACAAATTTTTTATGTTAAATAATTTGAATCGGAAATTCATAAGAAGATACTCAAGCAGCACGTAATATGACCTTAAAGTGAAGGGAATATTCCATTGAAAATTCGGAATATTCCGGTGGAATATTCCAGGGATTCTAAAGTAATATTAAAATGTTCGCCTCACAGGAATATTCCAAGACAAAATCGAAGGAATATTCCCAGGTAATGTTGAGGGAGTATTCCCAGGTAATATTGAGGGAATATTCCTTAAATATTCCACGGGGATATTCGGAAAATTGAAAAATGTTAAAACTGCATGGTAATATTGAAAGCGTGCAGATTGCAATAAGTTGTATATTTAATGAGAAAAAAGACTTAATTTTAATTTTTCGAATATCACCACAGAATATTCAGGGAATATTCCCTCAACATAACCAAGGAACATTCCATCGATTTTATATTGGAATATTCCTATGAAGCGGACATTTTAATATTACTTTAATATCCCTGGAATATTCCGAATGTTCAATAGAATATTCCCTTCACTTTAAGGTTATATTACGTACTGCTTGCGTAATTTTTGAGAAATATTTATTTGTTTAAATAAACATATATGTTCTTTTATAATCTATTTGAAAAAAGTATACAAAGCTTTCTCTGCTTACTTTTGAAATGAAAAATTATTATTATTATAAAATTAGTATAACTATTCACCTGACAGCGAATACAGAGGAATTATTTCTTCAAAATAATTTGCTATCTTATGGTGTTTCTCCCTTTTAGATTTAATTAAAATTTTGATTATCTCATCATCATCATCATCATCATCGAAAAAAAGGTCTATAGCCAACATGAGCGTTACTGCATCTTGTAAATTTTCAGCCATTATTCTTCAACAAACTGCAACTTTATGCTTTAGATTTCTAGTAAAACCTGAATAAAAGTTCGTAGATTTCTTCATCGGTTTCCTTTCCTTGTAAACTTTTACACGTCGATAAAACAATTACCTGCCCTAGTTTTTGTCTTAATCTCACTATCATGATAAGTGGCATCTCTGCTTACCAACGTTTTGTTTCGAAGGGGTTACAGACAGGAAAATAAAACTACATATTAAATCAAAATTTCCTCAAAGGAAGAAAAATAACACAGCCACACAAAAAAATTCTTTCCGGTTTGAAGTTCACACCATACAATATGGTTAAAGGCTCGCTGAATCCGGATTCAACTTCCAATTTACCCATCACGTCAAGATTTTGACATAACTTCAAAGTAATGAGTAAAGAGTAAAATACAAACCGAGTTTACTTTCACAAAAAAATTCGAATTTCTATGCTCCGGAAATTTTTTTTGTTCATGAGAAATCATATGGAGCCTTCTTTGGTATTGTGAGAAGAATTCTCAATTATTTCTGGGAGGGAGCAAAGTGATTAAAGACTTTTTCGATTAACAATTTGCAGCTTTAATTTCAGTATAAAGTGTCAAATAGAAACCGACTTTACTTTTAACAACGAAATTCGGTTTTCTAAAGTCAGGAAATTTTTTTTGTTTATGCAAAATATAGGAAGCCTTCTTTAGTTCGGAGGGAAGAATTCTCAATTACTCCAAAGAAGGAGCAAAGTGATTAAAGTCATTTGCAATTAACAATTTATAGCTTTAATTTTAGTATAAAGTGTCAAATAGAAACCGAGTTTAATTTTTACAATGAATTTCGATTTTCTATAGTCAGGAAATTTTTTTCGTTCATGAGAAATCATAGGAAGCCTTCTTTGATACTGAGAGAAGGATTCTTAATTATTTCTAAAAGGGAGCAAAGTGATTAAAATATTTTTCAATAAACAATTTGCAGCTTTAATTTCAGTATAAAGTGTCAAATAGAAACCGACTTTACTTTTAACAATGAAATTCGGTTTTCTAAAGTCAGGAAATTTTTTTTGTTTATGAAAAATATAGGAAGCCTTCTTTAGTTCTGAGGGAAGAATTCTCAATTATTCCAGAGAAGGAGCAAAGTGAATAAAGTCTTTTGCAATTAACAATTTGCAGCTTTAATTTCAGTATAATGTGTCAAATGGAAACCGAGTTCAATTTTAACAATGAAATTCGGTTTTCTAAAGTCAGGAAATTTTTTTTTGTATATGAAAAATATAGGAAGCCTTCTTTAGTTCTGAGGGAAGAATTCTCAATTATTCCAGAGAAGGAGCAAAGTGATTAAAGTATTTGCAATTAACAATTTGTAGCTATAATTTTAGTATAAAGTGTCAAAAAGGAACCGAGTTTAATTTTTACAATGAATTTCGATTTTCTATAGTCAGGAAATTTTTTTCGTTCATGAGAAATCATAGGAAGCCTTCTTTGATACTGAGAGAAGGATTCTTTATTATTTCTAAGAGGGAGCAAAGTGATTAAAATATTTTTCAATAAACAATTTGCAGCTTTAATTTTAGTATAAAGTGTCAAATAGAAACCGAGTTTAATTTTTGCAATGAATTTCGATTTTCTATAGTCAGGAAATTTTTTTCGTTCATGAGAAATCATATGAAGCCTTCTTTGATAATAAGAGAAGAATTCTCAATTATTTCTAAGAGGGAGCAAAGTGATTAAAATATTTTTCAATAAACAATTTGCAGCTTTAATTTTAGTATAAAGTGTCAAATAGAAACCGAGTTTAATTTTAACAATATAATTCGATTTTCTATAGTCCGGAAATTTTTTTTGTTTATGAAATGTCATAGGAAGCCTTCTTTGATACTAAGAGAAGAATTCTCAATTATTTCTAAGAGGGAGCAAAGTGATTAAAGTCTTTTTCGATTAACAATTTGCAGCTTTAATTTTAGTATAAAGTGTCAAATAGAAACCGAGTTTAATTTTTGCAATGAATTTCGATTTTCTATAGTCAGGAAATTTTTTTCGTTCATGAGAAATCATATGAAGCCTTCTTTGATACTGAGAGAAGGATTCTTAATTATTTCTAAGAGGGAGCAAAGTGATTAAAATATTTTTCAATAAACAATTTGCAGCTTTAATTTCAGTATAAAGTGTCAAATAGAAACCGACTTTACTTTTAACAATGAAATTCGATTATCTAAAGTCAGGAAATTTTTTTTTGTATATGAAAAATATAGGAAGCCTTTTTTAGTTCTGAGGGAAGAATTCTCAATTATTCCAGAGAAGGAGCAAAGTGAATAAAGTCTTTTTGCAATTAACAATTTATGAGTTCAATATCTGTTTAATGAGTAAAATAGAAACCGACTTTACTTTTAACAATGAAATTCGATTTTCTAAAATCAGGAAATTTTTTTTTTATGAAAAATCATAGGAAGCCTTCTATGATACTGAGAGAAGGATTCTCAATTATTTCTAAGAGGGAGCAAAGTGATTAAAGTCTTTTTCGATTAACAATTTGCAGCTTTAATTTCAGTATAAAGTGTCAAATGGAAACCGAGTTTAATTTTAACAATGAAATTCGGTTTTCTAAAGTCAGGAAATTTTTTTTGTTTATGAAAAATATAGGAAGCCTTCTATGATACTGAGAGAAGGATTCTCAATTATTTCTAAGAGGGAGCAAAGTGATTAAAGTCTTTTTCAATTCACAATTTATGGCTTTAATTTCAGTGTAATGAGTAATATTGAAAACGAGTTTACTTTTAACAATATAATTCGATTTTCTACAGTCCGGAAATTTTTTTTGTTTATGAAAAGTCATAGGAAGCCTTCTTTGATACTAAGAGAAGAATTCTCAATTATTTCTAAGATGGAGCAAAGTGATTAAAGTCTTTTTCGATTAACAATTTGCAGCTTTAATTTCAGTATAAAGTGTCAAATGGAAACCGAGTTTAATTTTAACAATGAAATTCGATTTTCTAAAGTCAGGAAATTTTTTTCGTTCATGAGAAATCTTAGGAAGCCTTCTTTGATACTAAGAGAAGAATTCTCAATTATTTCTAAGAGGGAGCAAAGTGATTAAAATATTTTTCAATAAACAATTTGCAGCTTTAATTTTAGTATAAAGTGTCAAATAGAAACCGAGTTTAATTTTGGCAATGAATTTCGATTTTCTATAGTCAGGAAATTTTTTTCGTTCATGAGAAATCATATGAAGCCTTCTTTGATACTGAGAGAAGGATTCTTAATTATTTCTAAGAGGAAGCAAAGTGATTAAAATATTTTTCAACAAACAATTTGCAGCTTTAATTTCAGTATAAAGTGTCAAATAGAAACCGACTTTACTTTTAACAATGAAATTCGATTTCCTAAAGTCAGGAAATTTTTTTTTGTATATGAAAAATATAGGAAGCCTTCTTTAGTTCTGAGGGAAGAATTCTCAATTATTCCAGAGAAGGAGCAAAGTGAATAAAGTCTTTTGCAATTAACAATTTATGAGTTCAATATCTGTGTAATGAGTAAAATAGAAACCGACTTTACTTTTAACAATGAAATTCGATTTTCTAAAATCAGGAAATTTTTTTTGTTTATGAAAAATCATAGGAAGCCTTCTATGATACTGAAAGAAGGATTCTCAATTATTTCTAAGAGGGAGCAAAGTGATTAAAGTCTTTTTCGATTAACAATTTGCAGCTTTAATTTCAGTATAATGTGTCAAATGGAAACCGAGTTGAATTTTAACAATGAAATTCGGTATTCTAAAGTCAGGAAATTTTTTTTTGTATATGAAAAATATAGGAAGCCTTCTTTAGTTCTGAAGGAAGAATTCTCAATTATTTCTAAGAGGGAGCAAAGTGATTAAAGTCTTTTTC